ATGAATTATCTTGGCCCCGCGGGATGATATTTGATTAGCTTTAGAACCAACCGCTCAGAGCCATAAGAAAATATTGGACGATTCATTGAATGCGTTTTCTCTTTGAAGGAAGTTTATTTTTGACCTTCCCAGGCCTTATCCATTCGTACACTCCGCTCAATAATCATTATCTGCATGTAACGTCTGGGTCTGGTCCCTGCGTTTGAGATAACAATCGGTTGAATTGCATCCGACCAATCAGCGAGCGCGGGAGGCGGGTGTTTTAGTTAGTCAAGAGTTTGCGTCTAATGAGCAGGTTGTAGTTTGGTAATGGCGAAAAATGCGATAGTAAAGTATTCCGCTCTGGTTCTATCAAGAAACTGAAGCCGCAGCAAGAGAAATGTTTAGCAAATGTAATCGCTGCAAAGATTGTGGCGCTACTCCCCACGGGCTCCGTTAGTGGGAAAGAAGATGGCTGAAGCTAGGCTAAATGCTAAATGCTAACGACTCACACAGGCTCATTACATACGTATGTGACGGTAAACTCAGACCTAATCGTTTCAATCTGCAAAAGGAGTTAACCCCTCCCACCTGTTCACGGAGTCAATGGAGCACCTCCAGACCTTAGTACGAAATGTAATTTGTACTATGGTGTGGTACGACCAACAGCCTCATTTTTGACCCTGTTGACAAATGCTCTCACTTGAAATGACTGACAGAGCCATAAGAAAATATCGGATTATTCATTTAATCATTAAATAACATACGGTCCACCAATGGTGTAGGTTTGGTTCCAATCTTGGTGGGGACATTCACTACGACCTGAGTCTACACCCATTGACACGGGGTCCAGAGTTTCTCCCCCAGAATTTGTTGTGTAATCACACACAATATTTTCAATAGTGTGTTGCCTTCTATACTAAACTCAGCTGTAGACTGAATGAGAAACAGCTATGTATGTTAACAGAAGATTAATCATCACAATTCATAATTTGCTATTACTTGTGCTTTCTCTTACTTACTTTCCAACTGTTAAAAAAGCTCCTGATATCTTTTATCTTTTTTTGTGGCGGTGGCATTTTCCCTAAATTATATAAGAAGGTATAGAAAATCAAAAACAGACATTCATATACATGAACTGCAGAATCATTTATATAACTTGGCCAATGTCAAAAGTTATAGTATTTCTCAATACAATGAGTTAACAAGAGTTTGGCAATAAGTAACAGTGTGGATTTTTCTATATTTTCTTTTTTTTATTCCACTCTCAACCCAAAAAGGCAAGTAATGACTCACAGGGCTCTCAAGTATGCAAAATAAAAACTTAAATGACCTGTTGTGGTGTGTTTTGCGCACAACCAGCATGCATCGTTAACGCAATGGAAAATTTGGGTATCCGAGCTTTAATTTCGGGAGCGCTGGTTGCGCTTTGGGAAGAGTCAGGGGAGAGACATGTCAGAGACACAGGGGAGAAACGGGGGAGATACGAGGGAGACCCGCACTTGCAACATGGTTCTGTCTGCATATGGTCCGAGCTCGGTACCATGTTAGAGCTGTGCTTTCACTGAGCGCCGCGGCTGTCATTACAAAGCGGCAGCAGCTGCACCAGGACGTGCTGTCACACATTTCACAGAAATTACATTATCAGCAGATAAAGGTTGTAAATCGTGGATCCGTGGAATATTTTCATCCCTAGTTTATCCTGATTCACACAACACACCCACTTATACATTTTGGATAGTAAGAGCACAATAAGTATTTTTTCAGCCTTTCAACCAACCTGTTTCTTTATTGGAGCCAGTTCTGTTCTGTCTCTGTGCCGTGTGAGCTCCTCGGAACATTAAACAGTGCGCTGACAGATTAGAAATAACGTAAGTACTTTGAATGGTAATAGATCTACAGTACTTTCCTCTGATTACTCACGTGCTACAACGCTCAGGGAACGAAAAAAAACACTTGCTTCACGCTGGCTAACTTTTAAAAATTAAACAGTCGCTCAGTGCTTCAGTTTGGCGCTGAAGAAGACAGCCAATCACTGCAGAGAACGGAACGGGTCACGTGCTGCTGCTGCTGCTGCTGTTGCTCTGGAGGCGAGGAGGAGGCGCGATGTGTGCACAAACGGAAGACATGTGTCCCGGACCGTCCGGGTCACGGGACATCATGTCATTTTGGTGGGGACTTTTTAGTCCTCACCAAATATTGGTGGGGACATGTCCCCATGGTCCCCACGCAAACCTACGCCCTTGCGGTCCACAGTGTTAGGTCTTGGTTCAACAGTTTATATGCATCATTTTCATACGTTTTAATAAACATTGAACCAGTCCGGCCCTCGGCTTGTAGCAGAATAGTTTTTTTAGGCCTCTGATGTATTCGACTTTGACATCCCTGGTCTAAAGCAATCACCAAAAGCTTAAACATTTTCCCTCCAGCACTCGGCCATGGCAGGCGATGGGATAAGAATGCTTTTTTCCCAGTGGGGTGAATACCTCCGTAGTGAAATCATCATCGCTCTGTCATTGGCCCCTACTTTGTGTTTGGCTCACCGGCTGGCCCCCATTTCAGCCATTGATCTCGTTTCCATTGCCAGTGTTGGATGTGGTTGTGTTTGAAGCTCTCTGTTTAGGCCCATTAAAGAAACAACAGAATTGCTAACGTATGGTGGAATTATACGGGGAAAGCAGCAGAAAGGATTAGGCCAGTTTTCTGAAAGCAATATCGTAAACATTGTCTCGAAGCAGTGATTTTTGATCTTCTTTTTTTACAGATGTCTTTTACGAGCGTCTGATGGAGCGGCTTTTTAGTGCAAATCTTGCTTTTACACATTTTCGTAGAGTATAATGTTATTTTTGGTTTGGCGAAGATGAAAACCCGCCTCAGTCCTGGGTCTGCAGCCTCAGTCCTGGGTCTGCAGCCTCAGTCCTAGGTCTGCAGCCTCAGTCCTGGGTCTGCAGCCTCAGTCCTGGGTCTACAGCCTCAGTCCTGGGTCTGCAGCCTCAGTCCTGGGTCTACACAGCCTCAGTCCTGGGTCTACACAGCCTCACTCCTGGGTCTACAGGGTCTACAGCCTCACTCCTGGGTCTACAGCATCAGTCCTGGATCTACAGCATCAGTCCTGGATCTACACAGCCTCAGTCCTGGATCTACACAGCCTCAGTCCTGGATCTACACAGCCTCAGTCCTGGATCTACACAGCCTCAGTCCTGGATCTACACAGCCTCAGTCCTGGATCTACACAGCCTCAGTCCTGGATCTACACAGCCTCAGTCCTGGGTCTACACAGCCTCAGTCCTGGGTCTGCAGCCTCAGTCCTGGGTCTACAGCCTCAGTCCTGGGTCTGCAGCCTCAGTCCTGGGTCTACAGCCTCAGTCCTGGGTCTACAGCCTCAGTCCTGGTTCTACACAGCCTCAGTCCTGGGTCTACACAGCCTCAGTCCTGGGTCTACAGCCTCAGTCCTGGGTCTACAGCCTCAGTCCTGGGTCTACAGCATCAGTCCTGGATCTACACAGCCTCAGTCCTGGATCTACACAGCCTCAGTCCTGGATCTACACAGCCTCAGTCCTGGATCTACACAGCCTCAGTCCTGGATCTACACAGCCTCAGTCCTGGATCTACACAGCCTCAGTCCTGGGTCTACAGCCTCAGTCCTGGGTCTACAGCCTCAGTCCTGGGTCTACACAGCCTCAGTCCTGGGTCTACACAGCCTCAGTCCTGGGTCTACACAGCCTCAGTCCTGGGTCTACACAGCCTCAGTCCTGGGTCTACACAGCCTCAGTCCTGGGTCTACACAGCCTCAGTCCTGGGTCTACACAGCCTCAGTCCTGGGTCTACACAGCCTCAGTCCTGGGTCTACACAGCCTCAGTCCTGGGTCTACACAGCCTCAGTCCTGGGTCTACACAGCCTCAGTCCTGGGTCTACACAGCCTCAGTCCTGGGTCTACACAGCCTCAGTCCTGGGTCTACACAGCCTCAGTCCTGCGTCTACAGCCTCAGTCCTGGGTCTACAGCCTCAGTCCTGGGTCTACAGCCTCAGTCCTGGGTCTACAGCCTCAGTCCTGGGTCTACAGCCTCAGTCCTGGGTCTACAGCCTCAGTCCTGGGTCTACAGCCTCAGTCCTGGGTCTACAGCCTCAGTCCTGGGTCTACAGCATCAGTCCTGGATCTACACAGCCTCAGTCCTGGATCTACACAGCCTCAGTCCTGGATCTACACAGCCTCAGTCCTGGATCTACACAGCCTCAGTCCTGGATCTACACAGCCTCAGTCCTGGATCTACACAGCCTCAGTCCTGGGTCTACAGCCTCAGTCCTCGTTCTAAAGCCTCAGTCCAGGGTCTACAGCATCAGTATCTACACAGCCTCAGTCTTGGGTCTACAGCCTCAGTCCTGGATCTACACAGCCTCAGTCCTGGGTCTACAGCCTCACTCCTGGGTCTACAGCCTCACTCCTGGGTCTACAGCCTCAGTCCTGGGTCTACAGCCTCAGTCCTGGGTCTACAGCCTCAGTCCTCGTTCTACAGCCTCACTCCTGGGTCTACAGCCTCACTCCTGGGTCTACAGCCTCACTCCTGGGTCTACAGCCTCACTCCTGGGTCTACAGCCTCACTCCTGGATCTACAGCCTCAGTCCTGGATCTACAGCCTCAGTCCTGGGTCTACAGCCTCAGTCCTGGATCTACAGCCTCAGTCCTGGATCTACAGCCTCAGTCCTGGGTCTACAGCCTCAGTCCTGGGTCTACAGCCTCAGTCCTGGGTCTACAGCCTCACTCCTGGGTCTATACCGCCTCAGTTCTGGGCCTTTTGTTGCTGCCTAAGCCGTGCAGCGACAGCCCGATGACAGACACAGACTCTGAAGACTGGCCCAAACCAACGCTCTCTTCCTTCATCCTTTCATTCTCAATTGCAAGTTGTAGCAAAGCAGCAGGTTCTGGGCTTTTTTCCCCAACTCGTACCATAAATCTCCAACGTCCACTTATAGATTGGCCGCTGTCCTTTTATAGCCTGCGACCAAGAAGACAATCTGCCATTTAAGGCTCCCTGAAAAATGAAAATGAGCAGAAATGACTGAAGGTGAAGAAAGGCACCAATCATAAAACTATATATTTCTACTATATACAGTGTTTTATTCTTGCTTCCTTATGCTTAAGTTATAGAGACGTGTTACTTGAAAACAATTATTTTTAGCTGTGCATACAACTGGGGGATTTTTTTAATGCAGTGTTATTTTATTTTTATTATTATTATTTTATTTTTATTATTATTATTATTATTATTATTATTATTATTTTATTTGTATTATTATTTTATTTGTATTATTATTATATGTTTATGTGATAGGGACAGAACAAAAAGCATTGCCAAACCAATGCCATGTTTATAGGCCGTATAGCTAACTTTTTAAACTAATTTGCAGACCTGGTCCTAAGACATTAAAATACATCATATTTACATAGATCATCATAAAAACACAGATTATACAGAACAAAATATATACAATTAATGATTTTAACGCCTTGTCTGAATGTTTGCGATCGGGTCTTGTTGCCTGGCCTTATACCTACTTCTTACTATGCTAATGTCACATATTTTGTACTTAATTCTTGCTTCTTCATTTTGCTAAAGTTGGAGATTATGCATGTGCTTCTTTTTCATGCTATAGCTAGGAGATGTTATTGTATGTTAGCATAGACTGTTCATATATCTCATGTTGTCTGTTGTGTTGTCGGTGATGCAACACTGAAACTGCATGTACCCTTTTGCTGTTGTACTTCTACACTTCAGTACTGGCAGCAGGCCCGGCTTGTCTCGGCCCGGCTTGTCTCGGCCTGTCTCCTCTGCACTTCTGTCTCTGCCACTGACCGTGAAACGTGAAGAGAAAGTGCTGGTAAATACAGTCCATGTGGAGGAATGACAAAAAGGCCATAAGTTTACTCCTTAAAAACACATTAGTTGGAAAAATGACACTGTAGTGGGTTAGATTGACTGATACAGGGGTGTGCAAACTTTTAAGTAAGAGGGCCACTTTAGTTCATCAGACTTGACCTGGGGCTGACAACCTGGATTTAAAAACTGGATTTGAGCTGGATTGTATGTGGAATGTTGAGACACAATCATAAAACAAATGTCAGTGAAAAATAATTGAGTCAACGAGTGGATTCCAGAGAGTCTGAGATTCACAACAAGGTGTAGCATGACTGTGTTGGTGGAGCTGAAGTTGGTTGGATGACACTGTCAAAGTGCCTCAATGGCGACTTTGTTTTTGCAGCAGAGGGCCACATAGGACGACACAGAGGACCGTGATTGGCCCACGGGCCTGAGTGTGGACATGCATGGACTAATATATAGCTCAGAAATGTACATATCTGCCTCCTTGCATTATGGAAAATTGGACAAATCACACTTTGTGGTGCCACCTGCATGCCTGGTCATGTTAAATCAGCAGGGCAGGGCTTGGTTAGTGCTATGATGGGAGACCTCTGGGAACACCAGGTGCCACAGTGGGGCGGCTGCGGCTGTAAAGTGCCAAGATGTTTTTGTTTCCTTAGGCAAGACACTTCCCCCGCATTAGAATGAGTCTGGTGTGTGTGTGAATGGTTGGTGGTGGTGGGAGGGGCCGATGGCACAGACTGGCTGCCTCGCTTCTGTCAGTGTGCCCCAGGGCAGCTGTGGCTACAGTAGTATTTTTTAAGTGAAAGAATCATGACATGTGAAAAGTCTTTGAGCGTCCTGAAAAAAATGTATTGTGAAACCAAATGTATTATTATTATTGTTATTATTTTTGTTTGTTAGCAATTTATTGGTCGAAATGGCGCAATCCGCATCAGTCAACGCTAAAACCAAAATAGATTGGTTAAAAACACAACTTTAAGATTAAAATCAAGAAATCCTTTATTTGTCTCACAGTGGGTGAAATTTCAGAATATTTATAGATTAGTTATATTTCCAACAACTAAACCAACCAATCTGTGTTTATACAACATAACAAACTCATTTGGCCATCGTTCAAAAAACCGTGTTAAAAGAGCCTATAAACGGTCCTGTAGAAATAAACCATGTTAAAGGAGAAACCTATTCCCGATTTTACAACTAACACAACATAAGTTAATTCATACAATTGCTCCTCAGAAAGTAGCACCTCGAGACCAGTGTTGACTTGTAGTGTCCTCGCTCTCACAGATGAGATAATACAAAAAGACGTTTATGATGTGCCACAAATCACTCTCCGTCCGTTCTTGGAATGCATTTTGCAACAGCCAGAACACGCCAAAACAACGCCACAAGCCCAGGACGGGAAATAATCTACAACACAGACTCCCACAAGAATCCTCCACTTAAAAATAAACGGCAACAAGAGGGTTTCGTAACAGCACCACCTAATTATACAGAAAAAAAAAAAAAAAAAATTCACAGCTTGGGAAGAGGATGTATCTAAAATGTGTTGGATAATTTTTTACGGGAGAAACAAGAGAGTGTGTTTTATTTAATAATTCTGACTTTTGTGCATTCCCAGGTCCCACCGTAAAACTAAATTATTTCGTCGCAGCCCTAACCTTGACCAATTGTACTGTTACAGATGCTACTGTCTGAGATTCCCTTTATTTTTCCTGATTTTTGTGTTTTTGTATGCTCTGTGCTGCCCCTGGTGGGAAATATAAAAAGTCTGAATCTGAAGCTACTTATTGATATATTTTTTCAGAAAATGATTGTGATAAGGGCTCAGGGGCAACAGTGGCTCAGTTGGAAGAGGTTTGGTCTCTGAGCCTAATAGTCATGGGTTTGATCCCTCCCACGACCCATGTCCTCTTCCACACTGTAGTCTGCTGTCGATGTGTCCCTGGGCAAGACACTTAACCTCACATTGCCCAAAGCCTCCACAGATGATAATAAAGGGCATGAAAAGGACAAAAATATACTGACATGATTGTGATAAATGAAAACATCCAAACTTTGTCGAGCCAATACTGCAAGTACAATAAATAAGTTGTCCCTTTCAGTAAAAAGCATGAGTCTTGGGAATAAACAGCAGAATTATGGAATATTTAGTATAATATGAAGTTATTGTTTAAAGGTTTATGAAAGCCTGTGAAACTGAATCGGTTTTCTATTCAAAGTATTTTTGTATAGACCTAAATCACAAAAGCAGTCTAATCTGAGGAGTTTACACATTTCAGATTTAACAGATCAGAAAATTAAACAGTTCCAACACAGAAAATACAATTATTAAAAATACAAATCGGGAGTGAGACCACTGTTTAGAGCACTGGAGGAAACCTACGCAGACACAGGGAGAACATGCAAACTCCACTCAGAAAGGCCCTGTTCCGACCGGGATTCAAATCCAGGACTGTCTTGCTGAGAAGCGAGAGGGCTAACCACTCAGCCACTGTGTCGCCCATATAAAATATTTAAAAAACAGTTGCTTTAGTTAGGTACCCTGGCTTTAGAATGTAAAAGTCGCCTCAGACCGGGCTCCGACACCTCGCCATCCCGCCCCCCCTCCCCCTCTCTCTCATGACTCCACTTCCTCTGGTGATGTCACAGCTTTGCTTCATTCCTTGCAGATGTGGGAACTGGGCTTGTTACGGCTTTGGGAAGCAGTGCTCTGTAATGCACTTGGCACAGGACACACACACACACACACACACACAGACACACACACACATACAGACAGACACACACAGACACGGGGCAGACGAGGCAGACGCGGCTTCGGAGCAGGAGGAGGTGTGGAGCGCCTGGATGCTGCGCTTGCACAAATAATAAAGCCAAGTGAAGAAAATGCCATGAGGTTTTGGTTCTTTAAACTTTAGAGTATTACCCCACAACTGGAGCTTTCGGAATTATACAGCTGACATCTGGGACAGTCTTCCTGAAAATATGAGACAGGATTCTGCTCTGACTATAGGTTAAAATCCAGGTTAAAAACAGTTTAAATGTACAAACAAGCTGTAAAAATCCTCAGAGACGACTGCTGTTGTGATTTAGAGCTATACAAAATTTAATTACATTAAAATGAATTGTTGGGGAGTGCGGCGTCCTGGGATCCTTTGTCAACAGCCAGAAAATAACAATAAAACTTATTTTAAAATTGCACCTTGCTTTTTCAGGAAAATTAGCCCGGTTATGATTATTCTATGTAATTTGTTTGATTTAATGATGGATTTTATGACAAATTATTTTTATTCTTCATCTACTGCCCTGCATATGGTTTACTGAAGGCAAATCTGCACCATTGGCCTCTGATTACAGTGTTGCATCTTAAGTTACAGAGCAGTAGGAAAGAGAAGCACACAGCACAAGATAAATTAACAATAGCAATACTCATTAAAACAAAATAAAATCTCCATCTTTAACATTATAAAAAGAAGCTGGACGTCTCTACTTAAATGTAAACGAAAAATGTTCACATATTTACAGATTTTTAAATAACAAAAAGGCTTCATATGACACGTTTTTCACAGGGTTAGGGTTTGAGACACAACATGCGAATACTTTGGAGAACCATGAGTGAAAATGTTTAAGAATCCTCAGCCACAGCACAATTCAAGCAGTGTTTTTGGTTTTGTGAATAGACAATGACCTTCTGGGGTGGAAGTCAACAGTCGAGGTGCTGCTAAAACACGTCACTTGCAAAAGGCAGTTAACCGAGTTGTGAAAGGTGACATGTTGAGCCCTGGGCAGAGCCGTGTGTGCGTTTGTGTGCGTTTGTGTGTGTGTGTGTGTGTGTTTGAGGCCTGCTGAGTGTCACTGTGTGGTTAAAGACTACATGCCACACTCTTGAATATTACCCAATTAAACAGACAGGAAGCACATCCGCAGGGAAGGATGTCGAAGCCGCTGCTCTGGCAGAAAGAAAAACACTCCACGTGGGATCCATGGAGGTGGCTAATTACTGGAGAAAATACTGCAGTAATAGAGTTTCTTTCTTTTGAATCTTGCTTCTGTATATTTTTGACATTAGTGTTGGGTTAAGGCTGCCAACGTTTTATCGTAATTGTCCTTGATCACAGAACTTATATTTTTTCACCTGTACAATAGAAATGTTTTTTAAAAAGTGACATGTTTACTGTCCTTTAGCGGCATTAGCCATATATCCAGACTTTGTTCCAATGTATGCAGGAGAATTCAAAAAGGTTCATTTGGTCTGTTTCGGCTGGATGTTACTTCCTGATTGACCACATGGCGAGAGGGGGCGTGGTCAGTCTGAACGACCTGCCAGGTGGTCAATCCGGCTGACCACGCCCACTCAGGAAGTAACATCAGCTACAGCCGAAACATGTTGACAAGGAAATACATCTAAACTTGTCCTTCAAAAGAACCAAACAAAGCGTATCCAGGAGAAGCGGAATAGATTTGATTGTTGCTTGTGAGAAATTGAACGTCATCAGCGCAGAGTGAAAAGTAATGAGGGCTGTTTCTGATCATGATTGTGTCAAATCTCACAAATGGTGCTTTGGGCTCCGATGATAAACAAAGTAGCAGAGTTCAAAGCTCTGACAAGATGATCCAAATACTGGGAATTTTCCCTATAGCTTTTTTTTTGGCCGTATTCTGTCTCCTTTTCATGAACGAACACTTTGAGGTGTAAATCAGCGCTTTTCCCCCACAGTGTGATCACATCTATAATGTGTCATCTTTGGACGTATTGCCATATTGTAAGTAAGTAAGTAAGTAAGTAATCTTTATTTATATACCGCCTTTCACAGACCAGAGTCACAAAGCGGTTTACAATTGTTATTATTTTTGGGCACTTGTCTCTCACTCCACCCAGAGATGGGAGCGGGGTCGCCAGTACAGGAGGCGCATGCCAGACCTATTGTGCATGTTTTTAGTGGTATACTAAATGCGATAGATAAAGTAATCCAGTCTGGTTCTGTCAAAAAATTGAAGCCGGAGCAAGAGGAATGTTTAGCAAATGTAATCGCTGGCATATATTGTGGCGCTACTCCACACGGGCTCTGTTAGCGGCAAAGGAGATAGTTAGGCTAAATGCTAAAGCTAGGCTAAATGCTAAGGACTCACTCATTCGGGTTCACTACATACGTCACAGTAAACTTAGATCCAATCGTTTCAATCTGCAAAAGGAGTTAACCCCTCCCCGTCCGGTCGATCTGCTCGTACGCCACACTTTTTATTCTCATTCATTCATTTCTTAGGCTCGAGTGTAAACAGGAAGAGAAACGGAAACTCAACTCGAACCCAGAGGGAGTCGCTGAAGTTAGTATAAGCGCCACCAGCTGGACCGAGCGTTGAACTACACCACATTTGGTCTGGCACGGTTGAGAAATAAACCGTCTTCACACCCCTGTGGCGATGATCCGGGCCACTTGGCGTGCCCTAAAACTACAACTTGTAGATTTTCTCCAATGTAAATGTACGGTATTGTCTGTATCGTTTCTCATATGGTAAACGTCACTGATTTCTCATATGGTCTGTCCAACTAGACTGACAGTAGAGAATGCCTTACGTGCCATTGGCCTCATCCACCGCCACCATCACTACCAGAGCCACAAAGACCAGGTGGGTGAGGCTGCAGCGGTCAGACCTGGCTTTGCACCGCAGACCATCTGGTTTCAGGGGAAATGGTCAAACGACGAAACCACGGCCTCCTCCTGTATCACTTTAACCACGTATCTAAGAGTCAGGAGCAGTTTTCGGTGCCAGAATCAGGAATGGACTGAGCGGACCTGGCTGGAGTAGAATCAAAGTCCTTCTCTGGTCTTATATAAACTGTAATTAGTCTATATTAAACCTGTAGGCGTGTTTATAAGACAGCAGCAGTAGGAAGCTTACATGACGGCACTTCCTTTGAGAACAGCCGTGGCTTTCAGAGCTGCAGGTAAGTGCTGGGTTTGGACATGTAATTGTATCTCTAAAGGTAATGACACTCACTTATATCACCATTTAACATTTTGGACTCTCTGTGTCAAGACAAAGACAGAACAACAATACTCCTGTTTGTAGAATATATCTCACTTTGGATAAAACCTTGATCCATGGAAGGGCTGCGCGATATTAGAATTTAGTGCGATATTTCGATATGAGTGTTGAGTATTGCGATAACAATATTATTGCGATATTTTTGTCTTTCACCTTCAGACTAATAACAAAAAATAGGCACAACATTAATGACATTCAAATGCATATAATTATATTTTTGTTTGTTTGTTTGTCGTTCTTTTGAATGTTGATGTGTCTGTTTTTTCTTTTAATGGCGGATATTTTTGATATGGATATCGCGTGCACCAATATCGCGATAACAATATTTTTTTGATATATCGTGCAGCCCTAATCCATGGGGGGTTTTTTATGAATGGGACGATGGCAATCCTTTACTGTGGTTTCAAATGAACATTATAAATGATAATACCAATAGGGAAAAAGCTTTATAATGTAAGTAAATAGTCCCTGAATTTGATAGTCCCAAAAATGTATTTAACAGGCCTCCCAGAAGTCTCAAAACAACAACTCCCAGAGCAGTCATTTTGACGGCTCCCATTCAAATAAACGGAATTCTACCGTTTTAAATATAATATGAATTACTTACCACTAATGAATACTATCTTTAATACACGCTAAAACTGGTGAATATAAATGAAATATTGCAAAACTTAACACCAACTGCTGCAAGTAGCAAAGTGTGTTGCTATGGTAACCAGCACTTTCTCTAAGAGCTGAGATGGCTCTGATCCAGTCTCGTACAAGTCTAGGATCGAGATCATTTCCTAAACAAAATGATATTGAAATACACTACACTTAGAAACAAAAAAGTCAAAGTTATGATGACCAAAAATGAACATATGAGGAAAAACTTTCAAAATACACTTTCAAAATAAAAAGCCGTCAAATTGACTGCTCTGGGAGTTGTGAATGAATGAACACATGGACAAACTCCAGTTGAACCAGATGTTTAAATGTTTTATGGTGTCTAGAAAAGTACATGAAGTTGGCATTAAATACTTTGACCACTACTACCACCACTATAACTACCACTACTACTACTACTACTACTTCTAGACAAGGCAAGTTTATTTGTAAAGCACAACTCACACACAAGGCAACTCAAAGTGCTGAACAAAACGGAGACAATCACACAAGGAATTCAAAGAGGGTAGATTTAGTTCCAGATTTTAGCTGCGTGAATCTGAAATACTACTACTATCATTACACGGGAAACAAAATCCAAACAGCTTTCCCTCTCTTTGAACATATACACATACAGATATCCATGGAAGAGTCCTATACCTTGAACCCAGAGCTGAGAGGAAGTGTGAGGCGCGGTGAGTGGCTGGCAGGGGCACGGTAACCTCCTATGGGGCCCCTGGTTCAGAGGATAGAGTTTCAGCCGTTTACTAACAGAGCGTTCCACTGGAGGAAGCTGACGGCTGCAGCCCTCACAATAACAGCACAGCACCTGGCTCTTGTCCCCACACAGGCTCCTGAGACCGGCCACCCACCCCCACCCCTCACCCCCATCCCCATCCCCCCTCCTGCCCAGAGCTGAGGCGACCCGAGAGAAGCCAACAAGGCAACTGGAAAAACATGGAAAATGTGGAGATGGTGGTGACAAGTTTGGATTCTCTCACTCGACAATGTGGGGTTGTGTTAAAGTAGCAATATGTCCGATTTTAATGTTAAGTCCTATTCTGTCATAATAACAAACTGCTCTTTTCCAATACTTCTTTAACTGATTAGTAAGTAATAGTAAGTAGTAAGTAATAGTAATCTTTATTTATATACCGCCTTTTCACTGCACATCGGAGTCTCAAAGCAGTTTACAATTGTTATTTTTGGGAGTGGGGGCGCCAGTACAGGAGGCACATGCCAGAACTATTGTACATATTTTTAGTGGTAGGGGAAACCGGAGCACCCGGAGGAAACCTACGCAGACACGGGGAGAACATGCAAACTCCACTCAGAAAGGCCCTGGTTCAACCGGGATTTGAACCCAGGACCTTCTTGCTGAGAGGCGAGAGTGCTATCCACTCAGCCACCGTGCCGCCCTGATACTGAACTGATAACATTAGTTCAGAAATATTTGAATTTCTTACTTTCTTCTTACTTTTCCAGCCTCTAAATCTTGTTATTGTTTTCATTTTGATGTCCCGCCCTCCACCGTTTCACCAATCAGAAAGTCTGTGATCCAGGCGCCAGAACTCACCGTGTGGAGCTAATCTCACTGGTAAAGTACCATGTGGCGCAGAACTAAAAAAGGTCTCGTTATGATTCTCAAATCATTAACGACAAAACAAGGAATAAAACCAGGATTTCTATCTTTGTGAAAAAGGTGTTGGTTATAGATTTGTTGTTGACTAAACTCTTGTCTATTCAGCTGTTATGGTCCCAGCTGGATTCGTCTGCATATCTGGCAACCTGAGTCAGGGAGAGTGGGAGAGGCTGCAGTACCACTTTTGGCCAGATTTTGACATACAGCTCCTTGTCGTAAGGAAGTTGAGGTTTTTTATGTCGCAGAATTTCAGTGTTGCATCACATTCTGATGCTGAGTGGTTTTCTGTCGACCCCAGAGCCCCAAAAATAAATAAATTAACATCTTAGAGTGTTCTTTTGTTGTGTTCAGCCTAAAACACACCAGTGCTGTATTCACAATGTCTAACTCATTCTTTTCATATGCCACGTCTATGGGGTGGATGGATTGTCCCAGCAAATAATAAGTTCTCTCTTCACTGTAAGTGAGTAAGGAGTAAGAAATCTTAAGTCTGCCTTTCAAGACAAAGTCACAAAGCACTTTACAATTGTGGGTATTTTGACTCTCACTCCACACTTGGTGATGGAAGCAGGGTCACCGAACAGGAGACACACAGCAAACCTATTTTACACTGCAAAAAGTGATGAAAAATAAGTCAAAATGATCTTGTTTTTAAAAGATACAAGAAATGTCTCCATTGGAATGAGAAAATAAAGCAACTGTTTTTGAAATAAGACTAAATGACTTTGTCCCATTGGAGAATCTTGTTTTAACACAGTCAGAATGTGAAAGTATTAAAATGAAATAACACTCAAATCAAGCATTTATTACCTCATATTTGTTTGAAGAAACCTACAGGGAGAACATGCAAACTCCAAAGAGAAAGGCCTCGTCTGGAGGTGGACTCAACCCTAGGACCTTCTTTTTCCGTGCTGTCAAAACAGATCTAGATTTGTGAGCAGTGTCTGATAGAGATCGATCTTTGTATTTGTTTGTATTTTTGTTCAGATGTTGCAAATATATTTCCTTCCTACAATGATTGAGATTAATACTAAGATATCTTTTATTTGTTTCACAGTGGGGAAATTTCAGTGTTGCGTCTCAAGTTACAGAAGAGTAGGATTGAGGAGCACACAGCACAAAATAAATTAATAATAACTCTAACAAAAATCTAACTAGCATAAAAGGAAGCAGTATATCATCAGTATAGATCTCCATTAGCATATTAATGAAAGAAGTCTAAAATCTCCATCTTCAGACGTAGAAGCAAGACGAAAACCCCTGACGTTAGCATGAAAATGAGCAAGTAAAAGGGACTACATACTAAACCTGTGCATATTCACCATCTACATCCAGACTTTTCCATTCAGCCGCTGGACTCCAGTGAGTGAAAGCCCAGAGCACACATACTCACGGTGTGACATAAGCTCTCAAACCAGTCTAAAATCAGAATCAGAATCAGAATCATTTTTATTGCCACGTAAGTAACAGGAGGTCACAGACTAGGAAATTGCTTTGGCTCAGTGCAACAGTCAAAAAGAGATAATACAAATAAGAATAAAAAACACTTCTAAAGAATAAATTTAAATTTAAAATAGAGTTACAGTTACTATTTACAATATACAAGTGCACATGGTGCACACAATGTAAGGTGACAGCAGTACAGTGAAGTAAAGTGACGTATGATGGGCAGTAAAGTGACTTTATAAAGGGCGGGGGGACAGGTTAAGAAGTGTTCAAGAGTCCAACAGCAGAGGGGAAGAAACTGTTCTTGTGGCGGGAGGTTCTAGTCCTGATGGACCGCAGCCTCCTGCCTGAGGGGAGTGGTTGGAATAGTCCATGTGCAGGGTGAGAGGGGTCGGCTGTGATACGACCAGCCCGGCCTCGAGCTCGGGCGACGTACAGGTCCTGCAGCGATGGAAGGCTGCGGCCGATCACTTCCTCTGCAGAGCGCACAATGCGCTGTAGTCTCTGTTTGTCCCTGACTGTGGCTCCAGCGAACCACACGGTGACGGAGGAGGTGAGGATGGACTCGATGATGGCCGTGTAGAACTGCACCAACATCTGTGCAGGCAGCTTGGCTTTCCTGAGCTGCCGCAGGAAGTACATCCTCTGCTGGGCCTTCTTGATGAGGGAGCTGATGGTCGGCTCCCACTTGAGGTCCTGGGTGATGGTGGTAAAAAAACTGAAAAGTGCCTTAACACAGACGCACAACCAGCTCCCATAAGCACCTGCAAACACTTGACCACACCATTTCTCCATCGCTATTCTTGGCTCGATTTCAAATGATGCCCAGCCGCGAAACCAGGCCACAAGCAGTCGGATCGGTTTAGCGTGATTGCCCCGGGTGCACGTCCTGGTTTGGCCCCCGTCCAGGCTCCAAGGCAGGACTTTGCAAAAACACAAGAGGCCTTGGACTGAAAGACATGCAGCAGCTGAGAGGAAGAAGAAGCAAACGCAGGAGCAGGATAGCGGTTTGGTGGCGTGCGGTGGGGTATTTCGGACAGTTACGACGGCAAACGGCGAGAGTAAAAATAGCAGGTCAAAGGAGGATGCCCAGTAGGATGCTTTACGACCTGCATTCCACTCAAAGGTGTAATCTATAGGAGCCGAGTGGAGCTCAGTATGAGAAATGTCTACGCCAAGATACGATATGTACATAGGGGGAAATATAGAATGGCCCAAACACACCGTGGTCCATAAAAGGATTTGTATCTGAGGAGAGGGAATCCTGGACCCGGAGAATGGATGTAAAAAGCTAAGTGGATTGCGGTCTTCCGTGATATGGCTTTGAAAATACATATCAGGTCAAGAGAGGTTGGTGAATGGCCTATAAAACTTAGAAAACAGTGAGAAAATATGTGTATGTCATGAAAAAGACAATATTAAATAAGTAACTTTTAGCCAGTGAATGATTCTCTATTGATTGAGGCACAAACTATTTTACCATGAAAGAAAATGCAAGCCCTGAAGTGTGAATGATGTCTCAGCATTTCACAATCAGTGGTAGAGACTAAAAGAAAACCATAACAGTGACATATTTCCACACAGAGATCACACCAGTCCATATTCCACTCAACTACCAAGCACGAGAATTACAAATATTTTTTCACCGTTTTAACTAACTCACTAATAAGACAATATTATAAGAATAGAATAATATGGATTTAGATTCTCAGGAATTCACAGAAACATTTACAGAATAAAATACAGAGATAATAGGATAGTAAACATCTGTTAATATACAACAAGGACAAAGCAGATGTATCTGTCACAGAGCGGTGACTTGTTACAGCAGGATGGAGTGTGGCATGAACATGCTCTTGTACCGCTCACTGTGGCAGCTGTAGGAGTCTGTTTTAGAAGGAGCTCCTGTGCCCCTCTATAGTCTGGTGGAGTGGATGTGTAGGATTGTCCATGATGGAGAGCAGTTTTTCCACTGTCCTTCTGTCTCTCACTGTCGTAAATGACTCCAGCCGACCCCTCTCACCTGCACATGGACTATTCCAACCACTCCCCTCAGGCAGGAGGCTGCGGTCCATCAGGACTAGAGCCTCCTGCCACAAGAACAGTTTCTTCCCCTCTGCTGCTGGACTCTTGAACACTTGAACACTTCTTAACCTCCCCGCCCTCTAGAAGTCCCCTACTGCTCTTTATAATGTCACTTTACTGCCCATCATACGTCACTTTACTTCGCTGTACTGCTGTCACCTTACATTGTGTGCACCATGTGCACTGTATTTTATATAGTAATTGTAACTCTAAATGTATTCCTTGGAAGTGTTTTTTATTCTCTATTTTTTATTATGTCTCTCTACCCTTACCTCTCTTTCTGACTGTTGCACCGAGCCAAAGCAATTTCCAAGTCTGTGACTTCTTGTTACTTACGTGGCAAAAAAAAATGATTCTGATTCTGATTCTGACAGCCAATAAATTAAATTAAAAGTTTTAAGGGAATTATCAAGAGGAGTAAAGCTGGCGTCTGAAGGCATCTTCTGATACATAAAAACAATAGTAGCATTTGGCAGATCACATTATTAACGTGTAAAAAATGTTTTAGTCGTGAATTTAGAGTTAAACCTGTTCCTGACTGTTTGGTTTTGACTGAAAATAAGAGGATTCTGAGTTTATGTTTTATATTTGATGGTCATATGTATAAACTAATTAGATGTAATTACACCATCTGCAAGACCACAACTGATGTGACAGAGGCCTTAAAACACATACTTGATGGAAGTGATGGAAACAAACTGTTTTAGAGCAAGCTTTAAGCTTTAAGCAAACACTAATAATCCACTAATATTCAATTTCTTCAACAGGGGTCCATTATGTGTGTGCGGGACAAGGTGAGTACATCAAGTCCTTTAACAACATATTTGTTGGTAACATTTTAGTCTTTTTTTCTTTGTGTTCTTCCTGCTCCAGTTCTAATCGCAGACAAGGAGGTTCTCACGGACGCAAACGTGGTTGAGTTCCACTGTCAGACTTCACATCACAATCCCGAGTGCATGTTCAGTTTTGAATCTTCACAGTACGAACAGCTTCCGTGTCGGACCAGTCTGAGCAGACGTGTGCTGCTGTCGAAAGTGAAAAATCCATCTGTAACTGATGTGAATGTGACCTGTCATTATCGCACAAAAGTGGTTCAACACTGGTCCCCACAAAGTAACTTTCTATCCATCGCTATGAGAGGTTTGGCTTTTTCTTTTATTTCACTGCTGCATCCGCCAGAGATTCACCAAATCACACAATGTTTCACCATAAAAACCAAGAAGAAAGACCACAGTATCAGTTTACATCAGAAGCTAAAGTGCACCGACACTGATAGCATTTATCTGATCACAGAAAAAGCAGATTATAGTCAGTGGTAGCAACAACCGAGCAACCAAAGAGCCAATTTCAGAGACAAAAGCATCTGGTTGGTCAGTTCTGGATTTGCAAAGACACTTTCACAATGGGGACACACCCCCAAATCCAAGGTCATAGTACTCGACTGGAAAAAGGTGCCTTGCCCTCTCTAGATGGAGAGGTCCTTCCTCAAGCAGAGGAGTGCAGGTATCTCAGGGTGTTATTCACACCCTGAGTGAGGGAAGGATGAAGCGTGAGGTTGATAAGCGGATTGATGCAGCGATGCGGTCGTTAGCGTTACTTTGATTGGTCAGAGCTCTCCTGTTCCTCTGATCTTGTGGAAGTAGCTCCACTGCACACCTACTGCAGCTTGAGGCTGAGACATGACCAACATGCATCACTTCCTCCCATATTTTCGTCTCCAATGAGCGAGTATACCAGTGGGGGCGGGTCCCGGATCAAAAAAGTCTATGAGCATGTGCTTTGTCATGCTTGTATTATGAGTCCTTGTTGGTGGGGGTGTACCCGGAAACAGAATTATCCAGTGGAGTCTAATGGCGCCTTCTTTCCTCTCGAAAACGTCTTTACAGGTCCAAAAGTCGGCTCTTGGCTCAATGCTTCATGCGGTCAATGCTGTGATATTTTGTTGCATTACCATGAAAAAAAGGGAACAAAAAAATAAAACCAGTGAAAATCTTGAGTAGCAGGGGCTTGAAACTTTCCTGTCAGATTTCATAGAGCCAGCAGGTTAGCACTGTTCTTCTTTATACATGACTATGAAACAGATGTGTTCTCTTCACAGACCTGGCTCCTCCTTCTTTGGCCGTAGTTCCATCAGTGATCACAGAGTCTGAGACCGTCACTCTGCGGTGTCGTCCTCCAGCCTCTGTCTCTGTGTCCCAGTGTGGCTTCAGTGTGGACATCAGCAGCAGCAGCAGCAGCAGCTCCACATGTGACTGTGACAGGGTCACAGCTGCTCACAGAGAAACACAGTCCTCCAGCTCGTCTGGACATAATGTGTTTTTATCAAGTCAATGACAAAAAGTCTTATTCACCGTACAGCAGCAGACAAACTGTCACTATTATGAGTAAGTGAGAATAAAATGTGTGTATGTTAGAAATGTAAAATCATCCACATTCAGAAAAGAACATCTCCAAAAGTGAGTGAGAACAGGGTGAGGCACGATGGTGACGGTCAGAGGAGACTGTGTAACCTTGATTTCACAGGATACAAATGGTTTTTGAGCAGAAAGGCAAAGCAGCTCAAACTGAGCTCCAACAGAGAGGCGTGCGCTGTATGATCGCAGAGAGTACTGTTTACATACATAGTTTCTTTAATACTGAGCAAAAACACCCATTCTTAACACACTTAGCAACATAATGACAGCGTGACGAGCCGTGGAGCCGTGTTTGGGTGAATGAAGCTCTCATCGTCAGTGATTGGGCTATTGCACACGCAAACTATATAAAGTTGTCCTTGTATAGCGAGAGTGCTGAGTGGATTATTAAAGTTCTGAGTGGACATTTTTTAAGCTCTCACGTGGATGAGAAACTCACCGTGGTCCATTATAATGTGATCCTCTGGTCCTGGCTGCACTGCACTGTGACTTTAGAAGACTTATTGGAAAGTTGAAAGTTTATTTTGACACATTATTGTCTTCCCAAACAACACTCTAACCTTTCCCATTGTTGTCCAGGGTCGACACTTTTTTAACATGTTTGTGAATGAGAGGAAGAAATCGTCAACAGCTGTACATTTTTTATCTCATTCTAGGTTCAAGACCAGAAGTCAGTGTTGTTGTTGGGACTGAGCAGGTCACCGCCGTCTGCTCTCTACCTGAATCTGTTAAACCCGCTCGGATGTGTCACTTGTACTTTGGGGAGTCACTGCGCCCTAATTACTTAGCAAACATCAGGAAGATAAGGCCAGACAAACAGGAGTGCAGTTTTTCAATCCCTTGGGACGATTTGCAGATAAGTTTTGATGTGTTGACGACAAAAGACATTTCAATTTGGAGAGACGTGAAACAAGAAGCTTTTGAGTATTTTATTGGGAGGAGGTTTGGCGCCCTAGGCCCCGGTGCTACCTTCAGAGCGGAAGGGCCTCCTGCGATGGAGCGTGCCAATCCCCCGGGACCTAGGCACTGGTGGCGGCATTTGGCAGCGGGAAGCAGATTGAAGGCAGATTGAAGGCAGGGTGAAGAGGAGGAGGAGGGGAGGCGGTGGTTGCAGGCTTCGAGAAGGCAGAGAGTGGGAGTTTCTCCGCTTTTAAGCGGCTTGCCTGGCCGGTGCGGTGATTGGAAGGGGGCGTTTGCAGTGCGATAGGCTGGGGATGAGAACCGGCCTGGAGGGGTTACCTTTGGCTGACGTCTACCAAATTGAATTTCCGCTGGCTGCATTTCAATTTGGAGAGACGTGAAACAAGAAGCTTTTGAGAATTTTATTGGGAGGAGGTTTGGCGCCCTAGGCCCCGGTGCGGCCTTCAGAGCGGAGGGCCTCCTGCGATGGAGCGTGCCAATCCCCAAAAAGGCTGTGTGTTGATGGAGTTTTTGCAGCCTGGTTTGGAGGGGACAGAACGTCGAGACTACTCTATGCTGTGACCGCTATCGCTATATACTGTGACCGCTATCGCTATATACTGTGACCGCTATCGCTATATACTGTGACCGCTATCGCTATATGCTGATGACCATCATGCGCTAACCATTTTTTGCTATATACTGTGACCGCTATCGCTATATACTGTGACCGCTATCGCTATATACTGTGACCGCTATCGCTATATACTGTGACCGCTATCACTATATACTGTGACCGCTATTTGCTGTGACCATTACTTGCGGATACTCGGCTGCAGCCGCCACCAGGAGTTTAGCGAGTGTTTTATGGAGATGCCAAAAGCCGCTGGGCTGCCAGGATGGTCGAGGTGTCAGGCCTGATGTATGAGGAGAGGGCCGATGATGACCAGCGGCCCAGCTGCTGGAGGGCGGAATGGGGGAGCCCCAGTGACGCGGCGGCGCCTATCCGGAAGGAGTGGGCTGTGTAGAGATGGGGAGACAGTTTACAAAGCAGCAGTACGGACTTGAGTTGGGCTCTGAACCAGTTGGGGGACATAGGGAGGTTTTCAGGGGTAAGAAATAACGGTCCGTTGAGATCTCCTTTCCGAGAGCGGAGGGGAGTGTAATGCATCATGGATCGTGACAGCAGAGGGCGGAATGAGTGGAATGCAGTGGGCGTGACAGAAGCTGGAGTAGACTTTCCACGCGAAACTGTATGATTTCAGTGTGGAAGGTGAGAGACCCATCTTCATGTAGGATGCAGCGGAGGAGATGAGGAGGTGAAGAGACGGAGGGACTAGTCCAGGGCGAGGGATTCCATGCAGGGGATCTGGCATGGTGATGGGTTGGCAGAAGGGCAGAGGCGTCGGAACTCCTGGAAGTCGAGATTATCACGCATGACGGAGATCCTCTTTCTCTGCCACGTGTGATTCCGCCGCGCGCAGGCCACGACCACTGGGAATATCTCGTGTAGGGCAGGGGAGATGCTCCGGTGGAAAGTAGCGGCCACGGCCCGGCAACCCAATGGTCCTGGAAAAAAACCCCCAAAACCCACGGAAGGGGCACGTCCGTGTAGAAGCGGAGACCTGTAGGGGCAGAGACATGTCGGAGAGGGCCATTGATGTTGCAGGCGCCCTTACGCTTAGAATCTTGGGTTGGAGAGTAGATAATCAGGATAGTAGGATGGTCGGGAAAAGCCGTGTCTCGAACCGCCTGAAGGTTGAGTGAGCAGTAGTGAAACGCTTATGCAGAGAAGCCATAGAAGGCGAGCAGGAAGATGCTGCGAGGAGGGCAGACGTGTACTTGGAAGAAGAGCCGGAGTTCAGTGCCGCTGCAGGATGGGCAGCACGATGGGGGAGCCTGCGATCAGAAGAGTGAAGAATACAGGTGTGGAAGCCTTTGATTAGGAGTCCGATTGACGGCTCAGCGCAGCCACTCGGCCAGCTGCATCTGATAGAATCAGAAGATTAAGTAGATTAAGTAGAGAGATGAAGCATGACCGCCGAAGCGACCCTGGGAGCATAGGTGCGAGTCCAGCGCAGCGCGGCATACTCGGCCGGGCTGCATCCATTAGAAGCAGGATAAGCTTCTGAGAGAGTGGGTTGCAGCAGTAGCAGTAGCAGTAGCAGCAGCGGCAGCAGCAGTAACCTCGGATAATAACGCAACAGTCCTGTATCAAGCCGCGGCAGCAGCAGCATCCGTAGATAACAACGGCAAAAATCCTGTATCGAAGCCACAGCAGTAGGATACGTTGTAGCTGTTTAGTGTTTCAGTAAGAGAAGCGAAGTGAGGAGAGATGACAAAGTACATGAAGCAGCAGCAGCAGCGGCAGCAGTAGCAGTATGAAGCAGCAGCGGCAGCAGTAGCAGCAGTAGCGGCAGCAGTACGAGAAGCAGCATTAGCGGGAGCAGCAGCACCACGATGCGATTCATACGAACAAACAGACGTGTCACGCCAGCGTGCGCCGCTTGACTCCGTGAGCCAGGTTACGTACGCGTCTGAAGGAGCCGAGCCGTAGAGACAGGTGCAGCCTGGGAGCCTGCGGAGCGGCAGCGGCAGGAACAGAAGCAGCGGCACGTGTAGTAGTAGGAGCAGGCAGCAGGGATAGACAGCAGCAGGAGCGGCAGCAGGAACAGCGGCGGCGGGATCAGGCATCAGTAGGAACGGCAGCGGGGACCGGCAGCAGCGGCGGTCAGAGAACCATGCCCATGGTCGTTTAACAGCCTGAGGAAATAAATCGACCCGAATCCGAAACATTCCCATGCGAATAACAGACGTCCCCTGGAGCCGTCTTGCTGCTTTGGTTATGGCAGATACGCATGAACGATCACTGATCCATGCGTTCATAGCTCCAACACCACTTCACACCCATTGCAGATTCACATTGGGCCCTTTTTCATTCTGCTGCACTTTCAAAATGCAACAACTGCAGTTAGTTACCTAATTTAATACCAGCGACCTAGCTATTTAAATGCATGGTTTTACTGCAAGTGGCAGAACATGAATCTGAATTAATGCACATTGCTCCTCTTATATCCCTCAGACGATAGAGATTGATGCCATTTAATATGCATTGCCCCTCGGTTAGCTCAAACACATGTGAAAACGGAGCCTGCAGACCAAGCACGGGGCGAAAAAACTGACGCCTGCAGTCAAGTGCGCAGGGCAAAAACCAATCGCCTGCAGCCCAAAACTCCGGGATTAATCCGTCCGCGGTCGGCACACTCACATGCCAGGAGACTTGGGAAAAGCAACGGGACAACGCGACACCGCCGATCGAGGCAGGGACACGCACGGCGCCGCCAGACCTTCTGCGCCAGGAGCAGAGAGCCGCCCATAGCCAAAGGGGACAACACAGGACCCAGAGGAGACCCAAAACCGAGGCCCCGGGCCCCCACCAGGTCCAAGAGTCCGACCCCCACAGCCACAGCCAACCACCGCTCCCAGCGCAGAGGGCTCCTCCAGAGGAAACACTGGGGATACTAAAAACAATACAATAAGTAAAACACTAAAATGTGAGGCTGAAAGGAACTATCACACAAAACATGAATAAAAGCAATAGCAATATAATAAATAATAAAAGATAAATAGAATATATAAGAATGGACTAATAAATACTAATCAAAAGCTAATCTAAAAAGCTAATCTAAAAAGGTGTGTCTTGAGCCTGGCTTTAAAAATATGAATGTTCTCTGCGACCCTGAGCTCCTCCGGCAGACTGTTCCAGAGACGGGGGCCGTAGTGCTGGAAAGACGCCTCACCGTGAGTGTGTGTCCTGACTTTGGGGATGGTTAGGAGTCTGCTGCCGGAGCAGGGGCCGGGAAGGTTCATAGGATAAAAGCAGTTCTGAAAGATAAGAAGGCCCAAGACCATTAAGACATTTAAAAACCATTAGGAGAACCTTAAAATCAATCCTGAAACACACGGGGAGCCAATGCAGCGATTTTTAAAAAATTTCTAGACTTCTGTAATGAATCAGCA